CCTCTGGGTCTGAAACCTGTAATAAAACAATCCTCAAGACAAAACCTTAAGAGAGTAAATCTAACGAGACCTAGAGGGAGGAAAAAGCCCCACCAGAAAGAAAAATAACTTTTAAAATGCTCACTGGAAGTGAATACATTGATTATTATGTATTGATTTCCCCTTAGACGTGGACAGCGACAGCGACCTGGAGGGGGCGGAGCTATACAAGCGCTACGGGCGAGGCCCCGCCCCCTACCTGAGCCTCACCGACAGCCCCCCGGGGGGGGCCGCCTTCGACATCTCGCCTCTGTCCTCCCCAGAGAAAGACATCGGTGAGTGGATACAGTTTTATTTATTTAACCCCGATTCCCAACATGAGTTGTCTCCCAGCTTTCCAACCAGAGCAGCTCAGACTCTGAGTTATTTACAGAAGAAGAACGATTCTTACTAAGAGCAGCACTAGGAGACACAGGGAGGAAACAACTGCCTTTAGGAGGAAGAAACCTGGATTGGGTGTGAGAAAGAGAGGGCCAGATGGGGCAAGAGAGAGGGTGAGAGGGAGAAAGGGAGAGAAAGGACGAGAGAAGGCAAGAGAGGTTGAGATAGGGTGAGAGAGCGGGTGAGAAAGGGAGGGCAAGAGAGAGAGAGGGCACGAGAAGCTAGAGAGAGAGAGTGCAAGAGAGAAAGTTGAGGGCAAGAGAGAAAGGGAGAGCGAGGGAGAAAGAGAGAGAGGGCAATATAGAGAAAGGGAGAGATAGGGAGAGAGAGAGTGAGAGAGGTGAGGGCTAGAGAGAGAAAGGGAGATAGAGGGTGAGAGAGGGCGAGAGAGAGGGAGGGCAAGAGAAAGGGAGAGAGAGAGAGAGAGGGGGGGGAGCCTCCACAGTAACATCTACACAGTAAAAGTGTTTCTACAGATGGATGAGAAACAGTCCAGATGTTGATATTAACGATAACAACAGTAATACCAGGACCAGGATCTGGGGGGGGGGGAATGGCCCCCTGCCCCCCCCCCCCCCCTCAGAGGCCTGTCTGTCTGACTGGTGTTTTCCTGTTTCCCAGGTGACCAGCTCCAGTCATCGTCAGAGGTGGACCTGGCAGAGGACGGAGGTGAGGCGGCCGGTTCCCGTTTTCATGGCGTTTTCTCCCTGTTTTCATGGCGTTTTCTCCCTGTT